GAGGCGACCCCGCAGCGAAGAACAGCCTCCACCACCAGCGCTACCAGCGCCAGTTCAGCAGCCAGCCACCAGGCGCACAACCTCGGAAACATCGAGAACACCGCAGCGAAGCAGCGCGCCCATCAATGCGCCGAAATGCTGGCACGGAAACAAGGAGACGGTGATTTCACTATCAGTGGGGGAGCGAGCGGCAGTGGAGGAGCAGCCCCACCGCCTTCGGGAGGAGACGTGGTGCAGCCGCTGCCGGCGGCGCCGCCCGCTGCGGCACCCGCCGCGGGCTCGGGCGCCGCTGCCGTTCCTGCCGCCGCCGATCATCCTGCTGCCCCTGCCGCCGCATATTTTCATCAACATCCTGAACCCGCACCTCAGGGCCCGGTCGACGACGCCGAGGACGACAGGGAGTCCGATAGCTCCGGACCGGACATGACTCGGGAATGGCAGAGGGCCGCGGAGGAGCAGTCTCGACAGGAGACAGTGGCAAGGCGCCGACTGGACACCGAAACCCAGCGCGGCACGAAGGCGCAGCGACAGGTTCAACAATAATCCGCGCCGCATGCTCTTCGACGCGGCCGCGAGCCCGACCCGCGCGGGCGCGCAGCCAAGCGCAAGGATATGTTGGACGATTTGCCCAAGTGCTTCAAGAGGCCGAAGGACACGAACAAGGTCGACCTCTACTTGGACAACTACTTCAGAAGCACGCGGACGAACTTCACGCAAGCACACGACTCCGCGAGGCTCTGCTCGCGGGCAACGCGACCGCCAAGGAATTCAAGCACGACACCTTGAGCGCCTCCGAGGAGAAGAACATGGGCGCCGCCACGAAGACCGAGTGGTCCAAGTGGCGGAGTTCGGCGCCTACAGGAAGCTCCCGCTCAGGGAGCTGAAGGAGCCCCTGCGGCGCAACCCTGGCATCCGCCCTTTGGGCGCACGCTGGGTGCTGACCAGCAAGGGCCAGAACGTTATGAAGGCCCGTCTGGTCGTGCAGGGCTGCCAGGGGGATAAATCGCAGATCGGGACGGACGCGCCTGCGGGGTCAAGGGACGCGCTGTACCTTACCCTGGCCGCCGCGGCCCAGAAGAACTGGGACATCTCGTCCTGCGACGCGATGACGGCCCACCTACAGTCGGGGAGCATCGAGAGGCTGCTGCCCCTGCGCATGCCGGCCAAGAGCCCGCCGCCTGGGGCGCAGCCTGGCGAGATCGCGATGGCCGCGGGCGCGATCTACGGGGCGCGCGACGCCGGGAGGCAGTGGTACCTCTACGCCCAGAAGGTCTTCGCCGAGCACGGCCTCGTAGAGAGCAAGCTCGAGAAGGGCCTTTACTATTTCTACGACGAAGGTGGGCTCGCCGCGGTTATCCATTCCCACGTGGACGACTTTCTGATCGCCCAGCGTAGCAACTCCACCAAGCGGGAGTCCACTACTGCATCGCTGCGGAAGGAGCTACACCTCAAGCAGGTTGACGCGGTCATCAAGTACTGTGGACGTACAATCACGATGCTCGACGACGAGTTTCGGGTGACCCAGGCTACCGCCGCCTCGCAGGTGGACTACATCGACCTGAAGGCCCCGAAGGGCCGCAATGCCGAGGATCGGCTCACCGCCACCGAGGTGGCGAGCTACCGCCACACGCTCGGGCAGCTGCTATGGTTAGCAGTCCAGACCCGGGTGGACATCGCCTGCCCGGTGAGTTTTGCAGCCCGCCGCACCAGCGCTGCCACCGTGGCCGGCGCGAAGACCCTGAACAAGACCGTCGCCTACGTGCACTCGACCGCGAACTTCGCGATCGTGCTGAAGCGCGTGCTCGTCGATCTGATGACGGCCGCCACCGCGTGCTTCAGCGACGCTGCGTTCGCCGACGTGGACGGGGCCAAGAGCCAGTGGGGCATGGTGAAGGGGCTCACTCACCGCCCGCGCGATGTCGTCGACCGGCCGCTACGACCTTTGCCTACCCGTGGCCTGGCACTCGGGCACGGTCAAGAGGTCGGTGAAGTCGACCCTCGCTGCCGAGGGCCATGCGACCTTCGAGGGATCGGAGACCAACATTTGGTTCCGCCAGCTGCTGACCGAGGCCTACAACCCCAAGATGGCGCTCAAGCAGATCGACGTCCTCGCCGACAAGCGCCCTGGGGAGATCTACAGTGACAGCATTGGTCTCGAGACGCGCATCGCTTCTGATGTGGGCCAGTCTACCGACAAGCGATTCCGCATCGTCGCCTCCACGATCAAGGAGGTCGTGCACCCCAACAGTGCACTCGAGCTCAGCTGGATCCCGACCTGGGCCATGGTCGCGGACGCCTTGACCATGGCGATGGAAGCCGGCGCCCTGCTGGCATTATTCGGGGCCCGCGCGCGCAGCTACGGGGCCCGGCAGCCGCGCGCCGCCATGCTCGCCTCAGTCCTGTTTACTTGCCTCGGCAAGGTCAAGGGGCAGCCTGCGCCTGCGCCGACGGTGCCGGACTACAGCTTCTACGTCTGCCTGCTGACTCTCACGCTGGTTCTCGGCATGACTATCGGCTTCGGCATCTTCGTGACGCTCTGGGCGATCATGAGGCAGAACAGCACGATCGCCGCCGAGGAGCACGTCGCCGAGGCGAAGGCCATTGGCGAGCACCCCGGCTGGGGCGGCCACCTGCTTGGCTGGCGCCGCAACATTCCAGCTGCAATCCCCGAGGGGCGCGATTACGACGGCGACATCGCGATGCGCCCCTCGGATGGACAGCAGCGCGCAGGCATCGAGTTCATCAGCATCGGCTTCAGGCGCATCTTTCAGCCACCACCCATCGCAGCCGCCGATCTCAGCGCCACCGATGCCACTGCTGCCGCCAGAACCACCGCCTGCCAGCACACCACCTACCGCAACATCAGCGCGATCGAGGTCGGCGAGATCTCAGAGTTCGGGTCCAGCCCCTACCTCGCCAAGAATAGTCACCGTGTCGAGTTCATCGAGTTCAGTATATGCGAATGTGGTTTCGTGGGGCGGTCCCTCGCTGCATCGTCAAACGAGATGCTCAACTGTGCGACCGCCGTCCCCCGCCATGATTTCAGAATCGGGCATAACCCGCATGGCGTCTGCATTGCCTGCAAGACCTGCAAGAAACACTCGTCATGGCATATCCGGTTCTACAGGCACAGCAGTCTCGATTTCACGAACTTCCCCGAAGGCGCGATGAATGATCTCATGGGCCATTGGAGGAGGCTCACCGGCAGAGATTGCTGGCGCGGACCTGAGCTGATGGACAAACCGACGAAGCCCAATAAGGAAATATTAACCCCGCTTGGTGTCTGGACGTCAGGTAGGCCGGTCGAACCAGCAAATATTATGCTGCCGTTGCTATAGACCTTCGCCTATTGCGACTCGGCCTACGTAAGTCCGCGTTGTGCTGCTCAGTTTTCTCACCCGGCTATTTCCACGTAGGTCCGCATTGCTGTTATGTTTTCACACCCGGCTAGAGATTTGTGTAAATCCGCATTGCTGTTTTGTTTGCACACCTGGCTAAAGATTTACACGTACTCCGCACTTAGAGAAGCTCCATTCAGTGTGCACAAGTTTCAAAGATGTGATGACGATCGCACCCATTCCGATCTTTTCTCGATCCGTTTTTTTTTAGGGGGGGGTCGCTTCGCGATCGAACTTTTGTTATTGCTAGCCTTGCTTGGTTTTGATTAGGGCGCCGGCGGCGCTGAGGGCTGAGAATGTCCTGCAGGTCGCGTGTAGCGCATCCGTTTAGGTGCCCAAGCGGCTGCCTGCAAATGCAAGCCGTGTCGAGCCGTTTGCTCGCCTTCTGCCAGCACGCCCGGCACTCTGCTTAATGCAGAGCCAGGCCTATATGCCCGGCTGCTCTGGCGCCTCAGCCTCGGGCGCCCGCGCACCGTGCAGGAGGAGTGTGATCCCAGAAGACTCGCCCTCTTCCGCCTCGCTTCGGCTCGGTCTATCATGCCCGATATGCGCAACCGTTTGCTCTCAAAATGGGGCCCGTGACGAATTGAGCTACGATCTCTGCCGCGCAGAGTTCGAGAAAACATTATCAGCGATACTATTCCATATCGCAGATGATGGCGATGCTGATGCTGATGCTGATGAGGATTGTGGTGGTGGTGATGGAGGTGGTGATGGTTGTGATGATGATGCTGATGATGATAGCGACGATGATGGTGATGGTGATGGTGATGATGATGATGATGATGATGATGATGATGATGATGATGATGATGGATGTGGTGGTGTTTGTGTTGGTGATGCTAATGACGATGAGGTGATAGTGGCGTTAATGCTGATGGTGCTGATGCCAGTGATGATGACGATGCCGTTGTTTATGACGATGAGGATGAGGATGGTGCTATGGGTGTTGGTGTTGGCGTTGATGCTGGTAATGGTGGTGGTGATATGTAGAGTAAGGAGGGGGAGGAGGAGAAGGAAAACGAGGAGCAGGAGGAAGATGATCAGGAGGAGGGGGAGGAGAACAAATGATGATGATGATGATGATGATGATGATGATGATGATGATGATGATGATGATGATGATGATGATGATGATGATGATGATGATGATGATGATGGTGATGATTTATGATGGTGATGATGATGATGAGGAGGAGGAGGAGGAAGAGGGGGAGGAGGAGGAAATGGAGGACCAGGAAGAGCTTTGCTTCGGCGGCGAGCCAGGGGGGAAGTGAAAGAGGGATGTTCTTCTCAGAAAGTGGCGGGGCTTCTCAGAAACACTTGCCGCCTTTTGACAAGAGAATGACAAAGGAAAAGGGAAGGGCGGTGGATGAGGAGGAGGGAGCATGAACAGGAGCAGGAGGGGGATGCGGATGAGGGGGACGAGGAATGGTGAATGCAGCAGGAGAGTGAGGTGAGTGCAGCGGATCAAGGGGCCGCCGCTGGGCGGGGCAGCCCCCCCCCCTCCCCCCCCAGGACAAGGAGGAAGAGGAGGAGGAGGAGGAGGAGGCCGAGGGCAACGACGTACAGCAGGCCGCTGCCCCAGCCGCCGTAGCGGAGGAGGCCGCGGGCAACGCCGTGCAGCAGGCCAGCGCGCCCGGCCGCAGTGGCACCGCGCGCGCGCGCTCCCGACGTCCTCGCGCCGCGGGGGGCAGTTGCAGTGCCGAGGGCTTCTGGGCAGTCGTCGGCCCTCCTGCGGGGCAGCGCCAAGTCAGTCGTGCAGGCGGCGCTGGCGGCACGCGCGGGGGGGAGAGGGATTGTCACGGCTGTACCCTGAGGCCGTGGGTCGGGCTCACACACCTCAGCCCCCAAAGGAACGGGGTCTGGCCGATGCGAGAAACCTGCCACGCGGCCTAAAGCGGGGGGCGGAGGACAGCAATGATATTGAGGTGCTTAGTGAGGAGCACCGGTCGATGCTCCACCTCTCTATCGCCTTCTCTGCCCACCGCCCCCTCCTCACCCGATGCCCTCTGGTGATCTGGTCAAGTCTGGGTTCCTACAGGGTGGCATCCCAAGTCGGGGAAGCGAACTTGCCTCCGCAGTGGTCCGCGCACATACTGAGTCTGTAGCCGTGCACTGCCCAGCGGTTCCACTCACGGGGGCAATCGGACCCCTAATGAGTCCGCGCGCCTCCCTGCCGCTGAGTTTGAGCTCCAGGTACGGCCAGGACAGCCTCAGTGCTCCGGTAAGCTGCCCAACGCGCCGGTCTTCTCTCCAGGCACGGCCGAGAGCCACCTGCTGGGAAAACCCGACATCATGACGGGCGAGATGCGAGCACGACAGCGCGACTCATGAGGGGTACAGTCCCCAGCATGAGGGGTCAACGCATTAGAGGTGCAATCCCCAGCGTGACGGTTCAACGCACGAGGTGAGGGGTCACCTTTCTGTACCCATTTGGCGTGGCTGGGGAATGGCATTTGCCCCAGCCCGCGCTCGGACCCCACCCTCCTCCAACCCCCTTCTGGCGTGGCTGGGGAATGGAATTCGCCCCAGCCACGCTTGGATATAGGGTATACAATTGTCTACGCATGTTGCAGCGTATCGCACGAAACTGCTATCCCACTCAATGGGATTGTTGATGCCGTAGCTGCTGTCTCACTTAGTGGAATTGCTAGCCTAGCATGTATACATATAACGGCGCACCGGGTCCGGGGGCCCGGGGCCGGGACCTCGACCACAAATGTGCGCCCCGGGGGGCCCGGAGGCTCGTCGGGGCTTGCCGGAACCCTCCCCAGTCAGACAAGACGGCCCAAGAAGCGCCCAAGACGGCCCAAGAAACTTCCAAGAGGCCTCCAAGAGGGCTCCGAGATGCTGAAGATGGCCTCCAGACGTCCAAGGACGCCCCCAAGAGGCCCCAAGAAGCCTCCAACATGCGTCCCAAGAGGGCCCCTAGACGCAAAAATTGGCCCATTCCCTTCGTAAAACGTACATTTTCAACAAAGTTGTCTTTTGGGCTTTCCGACGTTACAGGACGGCCCAAGAGGCGCCCAAGACCGCCCCAAGACGGCCCAAGAAGCTTCCCAGAGGGCCCCAGGACAGCCCAAGAGGGCCCCAAGACGGCCCAAGAGGCGCCCAAGATGGCCCAAGAGGGCCCCAAGACGGGCCCAAGAGGGGGCCCAGAGGGGGACCACGAACCGCAAGCTCGAGCCTTCCGCCCCAAGAGGCCGCCAGGAGGCCCCCAGGAGGCCCCTCAAGAGGCCCCAGGAGACCCCAGACGTCCAAGGACGCCCCCAAGAGGCTCCAAGAAGCCTCCAACATGCGTCCCAAGAGGGCCCCTAGACGCAAGAATTGGCCCATTCCCTTCGTAAAACGTACATTTTTCAACAAAGTCGCCTTTTGGGTTTTCCGACGTTACAGGACGGCCCAAGAGGCGCCCAAGACCGCCCCAAGACGGCCCAAGAAGTTTCCCAGAGGGCCCCAGGACAGCCCAAGAGGGCCCCAAGACGGCCCAAGAGGCGCCCAAGATGGCCCAAGAGGGCCCCAAGACGGGCCCAAGAGGGGGCCCAGAGGGGGACCACGAACCGCAAGCTCGAGCCTTCCGCCCCAAGAGGCCGCCAGGAGGCCCCCAGGAGGCCCCTCAAGAGGCCCCAGGAGACCCCAGACGTCCAAGGACGCCCCCAAGAGGCCCCAAGAAGCCTCCAACATGCGTCCCAAGAGGGCCCCTAGACGCAAAATTGGCCCATTCCCTTCGTAAAACGTACATTTTCAACAAAGTTGTCTTTTGGGCTTTCCGACGTTACAGGACGGCCCAAGAGGCGCCCAAGACCGCCCCAAGACGGCCCAAGAAGCTTCCAGAGGGCCCCAGGACAGCCCAAGAGGGCCCCAAGACGGCCCAAGAGGCGCCCAAGATGGCCCAAGAGGGCCCCAAGACGGGCCCAAGAGGGGGCCCAGAGGGGGACCACGAACCGCAAGCTCGAGCCTTCCGCCCCAAGAGGCCGCCAGGAGGCCCCCAGGAGGCCCCTCAAGAGGCCCCAGGAGACCCCAGACGTCCAAGGACGCCCCCAAGAGGCTCCAAGAAGCCTCCAACATGCGTCCCAAGAGGGCCCCTAGACGCAAGAATTGGCCCATTCCCTTCGTAAAACGTACATTTTAACAAAGTCGCCTTTTGGGCTTTCCGACGTTACAGGACGGCCCAAGAGGCGCCCAAGACCGCCCCAAGACGGCCCAAGAAGCTTCCCAGAGGGCCCCAGGACAGCCCAAGAGGGCCCCAAGACGGCCCAAGAGGCGCCCAAGATGGCCCAAGAGGGCCCCAAGACGGGCCCAAGAGGGGGCCCAGAGGGGGACCACGAACCGCAAGCTCGAGCCTTCCGCCCCAAGAGGCCGCCAGGAGGCCCCCAGGAGGCCCCTCAAGAGGCCCCAGGAGACCCCAGACGTCCAAGGACGCCCCCAAGAGGCCCCAAGAAGCCTCCAACATGCGTCCCAAGAGGGCCCCTAGACGCAAAAATTGGCCCATTCCCTTCGTAAAACGTACATTTTCAACAAAGTTGACTTTTGGGCTTTCCGACGTTACAGGACGGCCCAAGAGGCGCCCAAGACCGCCCCAAGACGGCCCAAGAAGCTTCCAAGAGGGCCCCAGGACAGCCCAAGAGGGCCCCAAGACGGCCCAAGAGGCGCCCAAGATGGCCCAAGAGGGCCCCAAGACGGGCCCAAGAGGGGGCCCAGAGGGGGACCACGAACCGCAAGCTCGAGCCTTCCGCCCCAAGAGGCCGCCAGGAGGCCCCCAGGAGGCCCCTCAAGAGGCCCCAGGAGACCCCAGACGTCCAAGGACGCCCCCAAGACGCTTCGCGTCACCAATTTCTTCTCGCAACGATTCCTGGGTCTGTGACTCGACAGAACCTAAGCGCGCGCGAAGCGCGCGCGTGGTTCTAGTCCTGTCTACCGCTGCCTATTGCTACCCGGACCCCAGGGGTATTCCGTGACACCCAGAGCGGGTGGACAAATCATGCCCCCCCTCGGGATCACGAGGCACCGAATTTGCATGATACGAAACTGGGGAGAATGTATCTCTCTCTTGCTACGGCTTCTACCCCGAGGGTATTCCATGACACTCAGAGCGGGCGGACAAATCATGCCCCCCCTCGGGATCACGAGGCACCGATCCTGGATGATACGAAACTGGGGAAAATGTATCCCTCTCTTGCTGCGGCTTCTACTACTACTCGGACCCTGGGCGGGATCGGCAAGAGGGCAGGGAGGAGAGAGGGTGGAAGAGAATGCTCGAGATTCCGGTGCAAAGTTATCGTGTCGATTACACTCCCTTCTTGATCGTGCTCCACATAGTGCTGGTAGGCCGGAGGAGGGAGGGAGACGACGACGACGACATCGACGACGACGACGAAGCCGACGCCAGCGACGACGACGACGACGACGACGACGACGACGACGACGACGACGGCGGCGGGCGGCGCCGGCGGCGACGGCGGCGTCGGAGGCGGCGACGGCGGCGGCGGAGGCGGCAGCGGCGGAAGCGCCGGCGTCGGGGAGGAAGAACAGCACGGGCAACAGCACGGGCAACAGGAAGAAACCGCCTGCCGCTGCACCTCCCAGCAAGCGCTGGAAGGTGCAGCGGCAGGCGGCTAGAGCGATGTGCATGACGATGGCTGCGCGCACGACGTCTGACAAACTGATCCAGTCGAATCAGCGGGTCGGGGGCTAACTTGAACTTGCCACGCAGTGGTCCTTAGTCCCCGACCTTTTAGGCAAAGGGTAGGGCGATGTGCATGACGATGGCTGCGCGCGCGGCGGCTGACAAACTGATCCAGTCGAATCAGCGGGCCGGGGGCTAACTTGAACTTGCTACGCAGTGGTCCTTAGTTAGTCCCCGGCCCTTCAAGCAATGGGCATGAGGTGGCAACATGTTGCATGGAAAGCTGATCTGGTCGAATCAGCGGGCCAGGGGTTACCGCGAACTTGCTGTGCAGTGGTCCGTAGTCCCCGACCCTCAAGGCGAAGCGGCGGCAAACAGAAAGCATGATGCACATACCGACCACCCGCGCGGTGGTTATTGCATCCGCTTTTCAACTACTTGGGCTCTGGTCGCTCCTGTCGAAACGACCAGCTGAGTACTACATGCGAACTTCGTGAGTCCGTAGGTCTTTGCCGCCGTTCCCCAAACCCTGATCCCGAGCATCGGAAGAAGAGTTCGGGACCCCGGGCCCCAGTCAACCACCGTATGTTTACTGACGCCCAACTCGAGCCATGACAGACTCCAATCGTGCACGAGCTGGCCGAATTAAGCCTTTGTCGCCCCGACCCCCACTCCCTGGCTTTCGTGGTCGGGGTGCTCGTCGGACCCCAGCAGGGATCCTTAAAGGCTGCCCCGTGCGTTTCCAACCACATCGAGAACCAAGAAGTCTGGGGGGTCATTGGCACGGGGCGGGGGGGAGAGGGAGGGGGAGGAGGAGGAGGAGGAGGAGGAGGAGGAGGAGGAGGAGGAGGACAAGGTTAAACCCAAGACGCATCAACGATATTTCAACAAACCCTTATTCCAAGCCCTTTTTTTCATAGGCAACTACAGGAATGTATGATCATTCCGCGAAGTGACCCATTAGAAAACCCTCTGAGAGTCTTCAACGCCGAAAGACTTG